GAACAATAAATACCCCTCCACCCAAGATGCTGTTAGTTGTCAGGGACTCCAGTGCTCCCACTCCCTCCCTGTCTGCTTCCTCCCTTCCCCTCCCCAAATGTTTGCCTTCAACACTCTGTGGCCCCTGAATGAGCACGCTCTGTCCTCCTTGGACTGTCTCTTCTCTTTCTTTCTTTTTAAAAGTTGCAGGCTAACATATTTCTGCACTGATGATGATGGGGAAGGGAGCAGTTGACAATGGCGCTGGCTCCATCTGTGTCATCCTGCCTTCATAATAATAATAATTTAAGAGTAATTTATTTTTTATACCCCTCCCATCTGGCTGGGTTTCCCCTGCCACTCTGCTTATTGGCTGGAGTGTGGCGGAATTTGCAGTTTTTAAGAGAGGATGGGTGGAAACTAGGATCTGGCATGCAGGCATCTCATGTCTCTGTGTACAATGTATATTTGTCTGCTTTTCCAGTAAATATGTGAGCTGGCAAATTCCTGGCAGTGGAACTAAATGCTAACAGCAGAGGGTTAAACCTCGGAAATCTCCTAATGACAATAATGGCTTCTCAAGCCCCAGATGAGTAATAAAAAATAGAAAGCTGCAGTAACTTTAAAGGACAAGGTGTTTTTGCTGGATGAAATGGGTTTTAGCAGGCATGGTGCATTAGCCCCCCCCCCCCAGCACAATAGCTCATGGCTGGGATTTGTTCATTAAGAGGCTTTTGGAGCTGGGTTTTGTATGGGAGTAAATCCTTTGCCAAATCCTTGGGTGGGCAAGGGGGTTGGGGTGTTCCAAAGTCACACTTTCTGCCAGAGGAAGTTTCTCTTGCACCCTGTGACTGCGGGAGAGAGACCATGTGGGATAGTGGTTAGTGTTTCTGACTAGGACCTGGGAGCGCAGGGTTCAAATCCCCACTCAGCTATGAAGCTTACTGGATGTGACCTTGTGACTACACTGCCTCTCAGGCTGGTCTACTTCTCAGGGTTGTTGTGGGAATTACCAGAGGAGGGGGAGAACCCTGCATATGCCGGGGGGCAGTGGCAGTGAGATATACGGTAAATGCCCTAGTTTTGTACTGCTGGTCAAGCTGGTCATATGACCATAATTGTGGCTGCAGGAGAGTAGCAAATAAATGAGAAGCACCCAAGCTGCCCTCTTAAGTGGATATTATAGGTAAGACAATACAGGTAAATCCAGTAGACATTATTATTATTATTATTATTATTATTATTATTATTATTATTATTATATTTTAAAAATAATGTTTGGTTTTATTATGGATCTTTACTGTTTTATTTTCTATATAGTTTATTCTTAGGCCCACTGCTTAGAAATGCTAATGACTGAGTGGTATATTATCATTATTATTATTATTTTAAATAAACTTACTAGTCACTCTTTTTGCTAGTGCAGCCTAAAGTGAATTAAAACAATATGTAAATAATATACATTTAGACCATCATAAAACAAAGCATAGAAAAATCTAAATAAATTCATATTTTTAAAATGCAGGATTAAAACAACCTACCCACCCAAGGAGGCCACAGATAATTAAAAGCAAAAGGCCTGGTGGAAAACAAATGTTTTTGCCTGGTGCCTAAAGATGCATTGCAAGGGACGCGGGTGGTGCTGTGGGTTAAACCACAGAGCCTAGGACTTGCCGATCAGAAGGTCGGCGGTTTGAATCCCCGAGACGTGGTGAGCTCCCGTCGCTCGGTCCCTGCTCCTGCCAACCTAGCAGTTCGAAAGCACCTCAAAGTGCAAGTAGATAAATAGGTACCGCTCCGGCGGGAAGGTAAACGGCATTTCCATGCACTGCTCTGGTTCGCCAGAAATGGCTTGTCATGCTGGCCACATGACCCGGAAGCTGTACACCGGCTCCCTCAGCCAGTAAAGCGAGATGAGCGCCGCAACCCCAGAGTCATCCGCGACTGGACCTTTAAAGATGCATTGCACAAGTGGGGAGCCACTTCTGAAAAGGTCCCTGTTAAGTTGTGGGCAAACATATCAGACGACACAGTGATTCTTCAAACAGCTCTTGTTTATTCCGAGGCCAGAACAGAACTGAACTGAAGAGCTCAGTCAGCCTGCTTATATAGAGCTCCAGAACAGCTTAACTGTTGCAACTTTCTAAAACTATCCAATCACTGAACGTCACTTTTGATCCTTCATTTACATACAAACTATCCAATCACTGAACATCACTTTTGATCCTTCATTTGCATAACTATCTACAGTATCCCCCTGCTGGCCCAGGGTGAGAACTTCAGTACATAACAGTCCCATTCCGTGTTGCCACCTTCTGGACCTCCCATGGAGAGGGCAGAAAGAGGGCGACTCTTATGATGACCACAGATTCCAGGAAGGGTCATATGGGGAGTGGTGGTCCTTGAGGTACTGGGGTCTTGAGCTGCAAATGGCTTTACTTTGAATTAGGCCCAGCGGCTAACTGGTAGCAGTTGAGCCAGGATTTGTGTTATATGCTGAGACTGTCTTGCCCCAGTGAGCAGCCTGGCCTCTACACCAGCTACAGTTTCCGAACTGTCTTCAAAGGTAGCCCCATATATAACACATTGCAGTAATCTAACCTTGAGGTTGCCAGGGCATAGGAGACAGAAGTTAGGCTATTCCAACTTCTTAGTAAAAGAAACCAAAATGAGATCTCCTCTTGCTGTGGTGTAGCATTCAGAGGTGCCAACTTGAATGAAATATTGGGGGAGGGAGGTAAGCCCCAACTCCACATAATCAGTCACATGGCATGGTGCATACACAACATTTGAATGGCAATACCCATCAACTTGGGTGGGTGGCCCCCTCAAATATTTTATTTGGGAGGCTGAAGAATCCTCAGCTCATAGGAGTGTTGGCTCCTATGGCAGCATTAATCTAGAAGAGGCTTCACAAATCTTGTTTTGGACTTCAATTCTCATCAGCCCCAGTCACCGCAACCATATGATGCTGGCCTATGGGGCTGATGGGGGCAGGTGCCTTGCAGAAGTTAGAAAAGACGAAGAGGATCCAACTTGGGACAGAGCTTTGCCAGAAAGCCAGCACACTTTGCAGCCTTCATCTCTCTGTTATGCATAGGAAGAGCAGCATTACGTTTGAAAACACATTGTCATTCTTTTTAGTTTAAGACCATCATGATTTCCAAGAGTGTCTCACAATCAGCTCTGCAAATTGCAATAACCAGGAGAATTCAACAAACAGGAGAAAGGGTGTTTTTTTTCGGAGGAAGGGGAGAGAAATCCCCCAACTTTGATTTATTTTTTTTAAAAAACCCACAATCTGTATGTTCATCAGAATCAAAATCTCTTTAGAGTTGTGTTTGGTAAGTCTGAGGCATTCATTTTAAACAGGTATCTAACAGATGGCAGGACGCTGCCAACTTAACACTGTTGATCTGTTCATACATTATGCATCTTTTTTGATGGGAATTTCAATTTGTTTGTTCCCAAGTGGGAAAATTCCATTATGCAGATGTAAGAAGCAAAAAGAAAAGAAAAGAGGAAAGAGCAACAGAGATGGGGGGTGGAACCAAGGGAGCACCTCTCTCTCTCTCTCTCTCTCTCTCTCTCTCTCTCTCTCTCTGTGTGTGTGTGTGTGTGTGTGTGTGTGTGTGTGAACAACCTTGCAGAAAGCGGAGGAAGCAAGAAACAGATAAACTATCTGTGTTTATAACCTGAATTAAGGATGAGGAAGGGTGGTACAGCTATAGCTGTTAAACAAAGCTTGGGTTTTTGGGTTTTTTTACAGCTAAAGAGACTTTTTCAGTTGTTGCTGGTGACTAGAAGATGCTTACATAAGATTAATGGGCCCTGAAGTCTGGTGGCTACTAGTTATTGGATATGCCCCATCGGAACTAAAGAGTCCAAAATTCTGTTTTCTGTAATGGCAAAGCAGATGCCTCTGGAAAGCCCACAAACAAGACATACCAGGCAGGAAAGAACCTTCCCCCATTCTATTTTGCCATCAGTTATCTTTAAAGATACACTGCTTCTGTATCTTGGAGATACAGCATATGACAATGATAGCTAATAACCATCAAGAGGTCTCTCCTCCTCTGTGAACTTGTCTGCCACATTTCTAAGCTTTAGAAGTTGGTGCCCATCCCCATATCATGCAGCAGAGAGTTTTCTAAGTCAGCTCCATGTTGCCTGAAGAAGACCTTTCTCTGGCCTGCCCTCAATCTCCTGGTCAGCCATTTCATTGTGTGGGACTGTCCAGCCAGAGAGAAGCAGTTTGGCCTTGGGGGTCCTTTCAAGAGGAATCTGGTCGTGGGAACCGGATGCTGGACTAGATGAACCTTTTGTCTGATCCAGCAGGGCTGCTTTTAGGTTCTTCTGGAAGGACCAGTCATGCTGAGACTCCCCACCCCCCTTCAGGGCTGGATTCAGCACAAGACGCAGGCCAAACGGGGGGGGGGGGGGAGGAGGGGTCACCTCACCTGAGGCTCCAAGTTTCCCCTTGAATAACCAGCCATGGTTATTCCCACCCACATTATTTAATCTCACCTCATTCCCCAGGGTAGGAGAATTTAATTATCATCTCCAAAGTGTTCTGCATAAAAAGACAAGGCTATTTTCAGCTCCTGCATGGAAAGGGATTCCTGCTTGCCATGAGTCTGCCTAAGCTATAATTCTCCCCCAAGACCCGCCTGTGGATTGATGGTAAATTACAAGGTGTTTCATCAAACTATCACCAAAGGCACAGCAATATCATTGTAGTAATATCACAGCTCTCAGAAAAGCTAAATGCTTCTCTGGCCTGGTTGTTGATGTTTGTGATGTTTGCAGGGCCCAGAGGGGATCCTGGTGCTTGATGCCTCTGACGGAGATGGATTACCTGGGACTGATGTGATCAGAAGCCCAGCTGGCTTATCCTGTTCTGAAAAGTTCCAGCTATGTATTTTGAAGATGCTTCTTCTGAGAGCATGTTACACTCAAGACAGAAACTGCCGAGGGATGACGGAAAAGGGAGGCTTCAAGCTTAGAAGCACTCCCCCCCCGCCCCCCAAGCAAGTCTTTCAGACCTCATGGTCTCCTCTGCAAGGTCCAAAATGGAAATCATGAGGCTGGTCTGCCTCACCATTTTCAGCCCGCCCTCAGCTCCCACCCAGCCACCTACTCACCCACCTGCCTACTTCGACCAGTCGGGGGTGGGGGGGGGACGACACTCTATTGGCTTGCTCCTCCTTTCTCTCAGTGTTGTGCCATTCAGCAAAGATAAGAGCAGGGGAGCCTTTACCATATGTCCTGCCGGGGTGCAAAGATCTGCCCAGCGCCCCCAAATTTAGTTTAGTCCCCAAATTAACTTTTATTATGCTTATGTCAGACACCACGCTGATGCCTTATCTCTTGTTTACGAAAGGAGGAAAAAGAAACAAACTTTTTTATTTGATCATTTATTTACAATACACTTATACTTGCTGAGTGCTGCCGTTGTGAATGACAAGCGCCGCCACTGGTGTGGTGCGTGTTTTGTAAATGAGTGTACAAAGTTGAAAGTCCATGCACATTTCTCTCAATATATGCATTTTTGTACACAATTTTGCCATAGCCTATGCATTTTTGGAAACAATTCCAACACCCCAGTACAATTATTTTTGTACTGATTCACAAAATTTGGAAAAGAGTGAATTTCAAAGGAGAAACTATTGATTTAGGAAGTGTGGGTGTGATAAATTCACATTTACCAAACAAATATCTCCTCTATCCCTACCTGCCCTCCTCTTGGAGCTGCAGACCATTTTTTGGATTGAGTAAACTGAGCAAGCAAAAGCCACTGCACCCGCTACCCCCTCCACCCAAATAAAGACCTTCTTTTTGGAGAGTAGCACAAACAAGAAGTAAGAAAGAAAGGACAGAGGTAGATGGGATCACTGTGGAGCAGTGCAGTGAGTTATATAGCTCACCCTCCCACCCACCCCGTTCCCCAATCTTGTAGTGTAGAGTACTGTTATGCACAGTCTTAAAGCCTTTCTTGCATTGTATCACTAGATTGCAGGCATGACTCCCCCCCCCCATATGCATTTTTTAAAAGCCAAACCAACACCACAAACATTCCCTACACTTAGAAAACTAGGACAAAATGGCCTTCTACTGATTTGCTTATTTTCTACATGCATGGAGCTGCTTTTTTATGTATGTTAAAAAAATTTAAAGTAGTGTAAAAGCTTTTTAAAAAATCGTTGTTGGAAGAAAGAAAGCAGCAGGAAGTACAACCACCAAACAATGCTGGAAGAGAGTGAGGATGTTGGAGTTAATTCTCTCTTGTTCTGCCCAGTTTGGCTGCCAGCAGTTGAAGAAACCACAAGCAGCCCCAGCAGCAAATTAACACTCGCAAAATGCTCCCTTTTGGGGTGGGGTGTGTCTGCAAAGTGCAATTAGAGCTGTTTGGTAAAAAATCATTTGTGAACCCCACTTGTAAATAACTCACATCTTTGCAAACTACATGCAATTTGCATATTTTGGCTAATTAATGAGCCTAGATTTACTGCAAGATTTGCCTGAAATAAAGTCAGGGGTTTGGCATAAGAAGTGGGCTCAGGCTTGCTGTGCAAAAGCAACAATTTCTCTTTGCCTTCCAACTATTGTCGCTGAGATGGGAAAGGAATGGGATTGCAAGAAAAGCAAGTTTTCCTGCTGTGAGATGCTTGGTACTCTTGTGTCTCTAGCTAGAGCTGTGTTTCGTGGGCTGTGTGTGTGTGAAATCAGTGTCGCCAGTCCTCAGAGGAACATAGCTGTAAGCAGGCAGAGTTGTGATGGGCTTCAAAATGTAGAAACGCTCTTGGAGTGAAATGTAAATAAATGTTGCTTAAGGGCAGAGGGAGAAAGCTAAGCTAGCTAAATGGTTTCCCCGCCTGGTGGGAGGTGATGCATTGACTGCTTCTCGTATGCATTTTGCAGCTGGAAGAGAGCACAGCCAGATGTGGAGAGGCTGAGAAGGCACAAAAGATGCTAGCTCTGGAGCTCGAGAACCTGCACCTTGAGCTGGAGACGTTCAGCAGGAACAAGAACTTGGTAGGAGTCCACAATGAAAGTTGCTGTGGCCCATGGTTGTACATAATCTTTATTGATTTTCAAATATTAAAATCCAATGACAGCCACATTTTATCAATATCAAATTACAATTCCCATCCAAATATAGATCATTTTAGTGACTTCCCGTGTGCTAGATTTCAGAGTGCAAAGTTCTTATTTCTTCCTGCTTCCGATATCTTGGTTAATCCAATTGCATTCAGTCCTGATCTTAGTCCCTTATCAACAGCTACTGATTTCTTGAGCTCCATTCATGTTGAGATATTTAATAACAAAAAATATATCCTTTTTTAAAAAAAAATTATCTATATTAATTTAAAATAAATATATTTATGAAAAACACATGTACATACAAGTAAACAAACAAACAAACAAACATACAATCAAATAAACAAATAACAGAAAAATCAAACAAACCACCACACTATAAGATATAACAAGATTAATATAATTATCATCATCTATACTCCTGGTATTGAACACAATTATAAAATTTATAGAAAAGAAATTTAAAACTGACTTCCAATCAATCTCACTGTACTTTGTCTATCCATTACTTTATACCGCACAGATACATATTTCTTATATCATTTCTTTTTACCTCCCTACAAACTTATATTTATACAATACAGGGATCAGTCTAATTCTGCCAATATGTTTCCTTTTATTCCATAGTTTTCTAAGTATTCTTTAAAGATTCTCCAATCCTTATAGACTTTTTGTTTCAGTTGGCCTCTTACTCTTCCTGTCGCTTTCACTAGCTGCAGATATTCTACCATTAGGATTTGCCAATCTTCCGTGTTGGGTATTGTTGTGTTTTTCCAATTTCTTGCTACTAAAATTCTGGCCACCGTTATTCCGTACATGAACAATGTTCTTTTCGATTTCCCTATTTCTTTTGGCAAAATGCTTAATAAAAATATTTCTGGCCTCTTTTTGAATGTTAATTTAAATAATTTTTAAAGTTCTACATATATTTTTCCAAATAACACAAATATCTGTACATTTCCACCACATATGCTAATAAGACCCAATTTCTTTATTACATCTCCAACATATAGGTGATCTGTTCTTATACATTTTAGCAAGTTTTTCTGGAGTTTGGTGCCATCTATACATCATCTTCATTGTGTTTCCCCTGAGATTGTAGCAGGCCATGAATTCCCACCATAATTTTACCCATTGTTCCATGTAAATATTATAACCCAAATCTTGCGCTCATCTCACCATTACAGCTTTCACTTATTCCTTTACCTCCCATTGCAATAGGAAGTTGTATACCCTTGAGATATATTTTCCTTTACTTCGTATCAATTCTTTTTCAAGTTTTGATGTTTCTTTAGCAAGTCCTGCTTTTTTTATCAATGGTTAATCTTTGATCACTGCCTTGCCATGGCGAAGGGGCTTGAATAACTCAGAGAAGCTATGAGTTTTCCATGCAGGGCCACCCAAGATGGACAGTTCATAGTGGAGAGTTTTGACCAAACATGATCCACCTGGAAGAGGAACCGGCAAGCCACTCCAGTATCCCTGCCAAGAAAACTCCATGGACAAAGACAATAGGCGTATAAAAGTTGTGACTCTGGAAGATGAGCCCCTCAGGTCGGAAGGCGTCCAACATGCTACTGAGGAAGAGCGAAGGACAAGTACAAGTAGATTCAGAGCTGATGAAGCGGCTGGGCCAAAGCCGGAAGGTCGCTCAGTTGTGGATATGCCTGGAAGTGAAAGGAAAGTCCAATGCTGTAAAGAAAAATATTGCATAGGAACCTGGAATGTAAGAACCATGAACCTTGGTAAGTTGGATGTGGTCAAAAATGAGATGGCAAGAATAAATATTGACATCCTGGGCATCAGTGAACTAAAATGGACAGGAATGGGTGAATTCAGCTCGGATGACCATCATATCTACTACTGTGGGCAAGAATCCCGTAAAAGAAATGGAGTGGCCCTCATAGTCAACAAAAGAGTGGCAAATACTGGGATGCAGTCTCAAAAATGATAGAATGATCTCGATACGCATCCAAGGCAGACCTTTTAACATCACAGTAATCCAAGTTTATGCACCAACTACTGGTGCTGAAGAAACTGAAATTGACCAATTCTATGAAGACTTTATAGAAATGACACCAAAGAAGGATGTTCTTCTCATTATAGAGGATTGGAATGCTAAAGTAGGGAATCAAGAGATAAAAGGAACAACTAGCAAGTTTGGCCTTGGAGTTCAAAACGAAGCAGGGCAAAGGCTAATAGAGTTCTGCCAAGAGAACAAGCTGGTCATCACAAACACGCTTTTCCAACAACACAAGAGACGACTCTACACATGGACATCACCAGATGGGCAGCATCGAAATCAGATTGATTATATTCTCTGCAGCCAAAGATAGAGAAGCTCTATACAGTCAGCAAAAGCAAGACCTGGAGCTGACTGTGGCCCAGATCATCAGCTTCTTATAGCAAAATTCAAGCTTAAACTGAAGAAAGTAGGAAAAACCACTGGGCTAGTAAGATACAATCTAAATCTAATGCCTTATGAATACATAGTGGAAGTGAGGAACAGGTTTAAGGAGTTAGATTTGGTGGACAGAATGCCTGAAGAACTATGGATGGAGGCTCGTAACATTATACAGGAGGCAGCAACGAAAACCATCCCAATGAAAAGCACGAAAGCAAAGTGGCTGTCCAACGAGGCCTTATAAATAGCGGGGGAGAAAAGGCAAGCAAAATGCGAGGGAGATAGTGAAAGATACATGAAATTGAATGCAGATTTCCAGAAAAGAGCAAGGAGAGACAAGAAGGCCTTCTTAAACGAGCAATGCAAAGAAATAGAGGAAAACAATAGAAAGGGAAAAACCAAAGATCTGTTCAAGAAAATTGGAGATACGAAAGGAACATTTTGTACAAAGATTACCATAATAAAGGACAAAAGTGGTAAGGACCTAACAGAAGCAGAAGACATCAAAAAGAGGTGGCAAGAATACACAGAGGAATTATACCAGAAAGATATGGATGGCTCGTACACCCCAGGTAGTGTGGTTGCTGACCTTGAGCCAGACATCCTGGAGAGTGAAGTCAAATGGGCCTTAGAAAGCACTGCTAATAACAAGGCCAGTGGAAGTGATGGTATTCCAGCTGAACTATTTAAAATTTTAAATGATGATGCTGTTAAGGTGCTACACTCAATATGCCAGCAAGTTTGGAAAACTCAGCAGTGGCCAGAGGATTGGAGAAGATCAGTTTACATCCCAATTCCAAAGAAGGGCAGTGCCAAAGACTGCTCCAACTACCGCACAATTGCACTCATTTCACACGCTAGCAGGGTTATGCTTAAAATTCTACAAGGAAGGCTTAAGCAGTATGTGGACTGAGAACTCCCAGAAGTGCAAACTGGATTTCAAAGGGGCAGAGGAACCAGAGACCAAATTGCAAACATGCGCTGGATTGTGGAGAAAGCTAGAGAGTTCCAGAAAGACATCTACTTCTGCTTCATTGACTATGCAAAAGCCTTTGACTGTGTAGGCCACAGCAAACTATGGCAAGTTATTAAAGAAATGGGAGTGCCTGATCACCTCATCTGTCTCCTGAGAAATCTCTATGTGGGACAAGAAGCTACAGTTAGAACTGGATATGGAACAACTGATTGGTTCAAAATTGGGAAAGAAGTACGATAAGGCTGTATATTGTCGGCCTGCTTATTTAACTTATATGCAGAATTCATCATGCGAAAGGCTGAGCTGGATGAATCCCTAGCCAGAATTAAGATTGCCGGAAGAAATATCAACAACCTCAGATATGCAGATGACACAACCTTGATGGCAGAAAGTGAGGAGGAATTAAAGGACCTCTTAATGAGGGTGAAGGAGGAGAGCGCAAAATATGGTCTGAAGCTCAACATCAAAAAAACGAAGATCATGGCCACTGGGCCCATCATCTCCTGGCAAATAGAAGGGGAAGAAATGGAGGCAGTGAGAGATTTTACTTTCTTGGGCTCCATGATCACTGCAGATGGTGACAGCAGTCACGAAATTAAAAGACGCCTGCTCCTTGGAAGTAGAGACAACACCTTGCCAACAAAGGTCCGTATAGTTAAAGCAATGGTTTTCCCAGTAGTGATGTATGGAAGTGAGAGCTGGACCATAAAGAAGGCTGATCGCCGAAGAATTGATGCTTTTGAATTATGGTGCTGGAGGAGACTCTTGAGAGTCCCAAGGACTGCAAGAAGAACAAACCTATCCATTCTTAAGGAAATCAGCCCTGAGTGCTCACTGGAAGGACAGGTCCTGAAGCTGAGGCGCCAATACTTTGGCCACCTCATGAGAAGAGAAGACTCCCTGGAAAAAACCCTGATGTTGGGAAAGATGGAGGGCACAAGGAGAAGGGGACGACAGAGGACGAGATGGCTGGACAGTGTTCTCGAAGCTACGAACATGAGTTTGACCAAACTGCGGGAGGCAGTGGAAGACAGGAGTGCCTGGCGTGCTCTGGTCCATGGGGTCACGGAGAGTCGGACACGACTAAACAACTAAACAACAACAACAACAATCTTTGATGTATTTGAAAATATTGCAGCTAGTCTGTTAGGTGCCCTTTAGTGTCTTCATATTTTTTTCAGTATTACCGATTATTATTAGGACAACAGGATGAACCTATACTGAAAAATTTCCACAAAAAGAGTTCTGTTTCCTGTAAATTCCCTTTGTGATAGGTTTCCCCCCTCATTTGTTTCTTCATTGTTCTAATCCTGTCTTACATTGCATCTTTGCTCCCACTTTTCCAATCTTTCTTTCTACTGTTGAAATTCAAGCTACGTCATTACGCCATCTTTGGTGTTTATGTAAGGGAGTAATCTGGGGTCCCGCCATAGCTCCAGGCAATTTTCCAGTTCTCCCTCTCCTCTAATTCTTATCTCTAATGATCTGGCATCCCGCCCAGAGATGGAGCAAGGTCGGTGCGATCCGCCCCGGGTGTCATCCTGGGTGTGTGACAAAATCCTGGCCATGCCAGACCCCCCCCCGGCCGCGCGAGAGCGCAACCCCCCCAGCCTGGCTGCTGAGCCAGATCACACCCCCTGGCTGGGCCGCTGTGGTGAATTGCACCCCCCCCCCCGGCTGGGCGTGATTGTCCCACCCCCTGGGCCGGGAGTTGCGCGGGGTGGCGCACCTTTACCCTGCACTCCTGGCTGGAGGAGAAGAAGAAGAAGAGTTTGGATTTGATATCCCGCCTTTCACTCCCCTTAAGGAGTCTCAAAGAGGCTAACATTCTCCTTTCCCTTCCTCCCCCACAACAAACACTCTGTGAGGTGAGTGGGGCTGAGAGACTTCAAGGAAGTGTGACTGGCCCAAGGTCACCCAGCAGCTGCAAGTGGAGGAGCGGAGACACGAACCCGGTTCCCCAGATTAGGAGACTATTAGGAGGCAGGCAGGCAGGGGAGAGGATAGGAAGGAGGCAGGCGAGCAAACAACGGAGGGGGGCAGGAATGGGTGCCGTGCTCCCCGTCCTGTCTCTCCCTATGGGCGGCTTGCACCATCCCAGGTGCCGGAGAGACTTCCTCCGCCACTGGTCCCACCAGAGCTACTGCACATCAAAGACCACAGTCCAAATTACCGTCCAATGGAAATTAGATGCTTTAAATCATTTCAGTGTTCTCACACAGTTCTATTTTCATGTTTATCCATAGATATAATTCTGTTCTCTTTTTCTCTTTTTGCTTTTTTAAAATTTATTATAAATTATTTTTTATTCATTTTGCAATACAAAATATAAAAACACATAACACAATTTTTCACAAATACAGTTCCTGCCGCTCTTCTGCAAATCCTCCGTTTTAGTCCTTCTTCCACATTTCTTAATCTAATATTGCCTTTTATTAAAAACCTCCTCCCTCTGATTCCCTTTTTTACAATATTTCTAATATTATTTTCACAGAGCCTCTTGCAAACGTTAATTGTTCATCGCAAATACTTTTCAAATAGTCTACAAATTTACTCCAGTCTTCAGTGAATTTGTGGTCTCGTAGGCCTCAGATCCTTCCTGTTAATTTATCAAGTTCTGCGTATACCATTAACTTCATTCTCCATTCTTCCATCGACAGTAATTCTTCTTGTTTCCATTTTTGGGCTAGCAGTATTCTTGCTGCGTATAAAAAAAGCTTATGATCTTTTCTGTTTATTTCATTTCCTACCATTCCTAACAAAAATGCCTCTGGTTTCTTAACAAATGTATATTTCAACATTTTTTTCCAATTCATTATATATCATTTCCCAGAAGCCTTTCACCTTCTTATATTCCCACCACATATGATAAAAAGTCCCTTCCTTTTCTTTACATTTCCAACATTTATTTTCTCTTTTTGCTTTTTATCAGTTGTTATTGTTTAGGAGGAGGTTTGCCAAGTCATTTATATAGCAAATATAGTATTAATTTTAAAAAAAAAGGGTAAAGGCTCCCCTCCCCCCTGACATACCATATTCTCCAACGAAGGAAATTTTTCCGGTTTGAAATGTTTCAACCCAGTAGCTGATTCTCTTGGCAGTTTGTAATCTTGTCCCCTTCATCCTGCACACGTCTGTAAATTAAAGCTAATTTCATCCTAATATACAGAAGAACCTCTGCTCTTAATGGCTGTGCCTGGGGGTTACCGATACGGGAAGCGCTTTTCCACTTAGCATCTCCTGCCTCTCGAGTTCCATACCAGAGTGAGAGTCAGTTATCAAGATGATCTGTGAGTGAAGCTCACTCCTCATGGGCCCTGGGGGGAGCTTGTAAGAACAATTACTCCCAAATCCATCCTTGTTTTCCTCCACAAGCGTGGGAGCTGCATCCATTTAAGGCAGGAAGTACCAGAAGTTGTTGCTGTGGCCCAAGGATTCAGTTATAAGCTCTTCAGGGGCAGACCCAAACAAAACAAGCATGGCACCCTCATGCACCAGCATGGGGCAAAGGCCACTTGGAATTACTCTTGTGTGGACCGAGTTGAAATGAATGAGAGTTGTGCAATGGCATGATAGCCATCAATCGGAGAGTGTCTCTGAACATGTGCAGAGTCCCCTCACCTCTGGATAAGCAACCATTCCTCTGTATCTAGGGTTGCAGGGCATAGGCCAGGCCCTGAGAGAAAGGACAAGGTGGTACCCTTCCCATTTCCACACCTGAATCCAACTAGATTGGCAGCTGAGTCTTACTTCAAGAGTAAGTAACCATACCTCAAATGTTGAAGGAAAACACACCACCTTCTGAGGAAGTCCGATTTACTGTTGAACAGCTCTTACTATCAGAAAGTTCTGCCTAATTTTTGGTCAAAATATCCATTCTTGTCATTTGAATCCATTGGTTTGGGTCCTCTTCTCTGGAGCAGCAGAAAACCTTAGAATCTTAGAATTATAGAGTTGGAACAGACCCTGTGGCTTATCCCCCTGCAATGCATGACAGACAACCATCCAACCACTGCTTAAAAACCTCCAATGAAGGAATGGGAGGCCATTCCACTGTTGAACAGCTCTTGCCATCAGAATGTTCTTCTGTCACAATCTTCTTAGTTGTAACTTGATGTCATTGGTTCGGGTTCTGCCCTCCAACGCAAGAGAAAACAAGTTTGTTACCTCTTCCATCCCTTTTGATACCTGAACACAGCTATCATATCTCCTCTCAGTCTTCTCTTTACCAGGCTAGACATACCCAGCGCCTTCAAGCATTCCTCATAAGGCTTGGTTTCCAGACCCTTGATCATCTTGGTAGGCACATGTTCCAGTTTGTCAATGTCCTTCTTAAATTGTGGTGCCCAGAATTGGGCAGTCTTCCAGGTGTGATCTGGCCAAGGCAGAATACAGCAGTACTATTACTTCCCTTCATCTTTGCATTATACTTCTGTTGATGCAGCATAGAACCACATTGGCTTTTTTTCTTTTCTTTTTGATGCTGCCTCACACTATTGCACCCCAGGTTTTTTATTTTTCTGTTCTGCTGCAGGTTGATGAGCAATTATACCAGCTCCAGCATGAGAAAGCTGATCTCCTCAAGCGCATTGATGAAGACCAGGAGGATCTGAATGAACTGATGGCCAAGCACAAGGCCTTAATTGCTCAGGTAAAGTGGGGGGGTGGAGAGGGAGGCCCACCCTTCAGAGTGGCCTTGCTTTATTTGGGGTGCTTGGACCAGGAGCCCTGGTTGAGCCCTGGTGGCACAATTTAGCTTTCCAGTTTTGTAAGGCTTGGAGCCCTGACTGGCTTCATTCCCTCCACCTTCTTTTGCTAGTCAGCACCCACAGAATCATAAAACTGTAGAGTTGGGTGGGACCCTGAGGGTCATCTAGTTCAATCCCAGCAATGCTAGAATCTGAAGTAAAGCATCTATGGCAGATGACCATCCAACTTCTGATTAAACATCTCCAAGGAAGGAGAATCCACCACCTCCTGAGGGAGTCCGTTCCACTGTTGAACGGCTCTTACTGTCACTCTGTTAGCTGTTATTCCATTTCTATCTCATCAGTTTCTCCAAACTGCTCAAGGTGGCACACAGTTTTCCTCTTTCCTAACTGTGAGGTAGGTTAGGCTGAGAAGCAAGGCCCAAGGCCACCCAGTGAGCTTCATGGCTAAGTGAGGATTTGAATCTCAGCCTCCCAGGTCCTAGTCTGACGCTCTGGCTACTGTGCCACTAATTCAACAGCCAGCTGATTCAACCAAAATGGTTCCAGTAGCCTCTTTTCCCTTAGGGAGCTCCTCCCTTTCCAGTGATACCATCTCAGCACCTCCTGTAAAGGTTTGCAAGGTTTGCGGGATCCAGAAGGCAATTCCCAGCATGCACACACCTATATGACTTAGGTGCTCCAGTCTTCAAAGGAGCCCCTGCCTTGTCTGACTCTCTTCTGAGGCTCTTCCTTTTTGCAGTCTGCAACAGATATCACCCAGATCCAAGAGCTGCAGACCCAGTTGGAGGAGATGAAGAAGGAAAAGTATGGCCTGCAAGAAAAAGTGAGTCCTCCCCCCCCCTTTCCAGTACAAATGCAGAACTTAACTCTTCTAATGCTGAAGAATCTCAGAGTGAGGACATCCTGAGAGCCCTGACACTGGATCAGAGGAATGCCCTTCCTGGCCCAGCATCTGGAAGCAGCAATTCTCTCCTGTTGTTTATGCTGAGTGACTGGTCTTCTGAGGCATGTGTTTGCCACTGCATGTCGACTCTCTAGATAGCTCTGGTGGCTAATATCCACTGATAGACTTCTCCTGAGTACATTTGTCTAATTTTCCTGTTCTGCTGAGGAAGTTTTAGCCAGAGCCAACACTTGAACTGGAAGGACATCCAATGAAGCTGAATGTTGAAAGATTCAGAACAGATAAAACAAGAAATTACTTCTTCATACAGCACATGAGAGCCAGTGTGGTGTAGTGGTTAAGAGCGGCAGTCTTGTAATCTGGTGAACCGGGTTCGCGTCTCCGCTCCTCCACATGCAGCTGCTGGGTGACCTTGGGCCAGTCACACTTCTTTGAAGTCTCCCAGCCCCACTTACGTCAGAGGCAGCAGGAGGGGAGAGGGCTCTTGTGCTCAGGTCCTGTTTTAGGATTTCCCACTGAGGCATCTGACTGTGAGAACAGGAGGCTGGATGGGCCATTGCCCTGATCCAGCAGGCTCTTCTTGTGTTCATTCCCAAAGCCTCTTTGAGGAAGGTGTGGCAAATCAGGACCCTGGAGAGCATCAGGTGGGCTCAGTTCACGGAAGGGCAAGCCATCATTTGAGCTCAGAACCAGAGTTATGGAGGTGCCTGGCAGGGCCTTCCCTTCTAGTGACTCTGCCCCTGCCCCACGCGAGCTGTCTGCAGTTTTTTTAAGGGTCCTTAGTCAGTTCTTCAGGAGCACAAAGCTGCATGGCTGTGGAGCAGCAGAAGCTCCCAGGGAGTCTTCTTCCATCTCCAAGGCTGGTGGGAGAGCCACATGCTCAGGCCAGAGCCCTGTGGAATGGGGTGCTGAGGGATCTACCCCAAGTGGGTGACTTGCGAGCCATCTGGATCAGAGTCTGCCTTGTGGCAATGCTAGAGACATGGCTCTGATTATCTTTTCTGTAAGAACTTAAGGAGAACCCCACTGGATCAGTGATCAATGGCCCCTCTATCCCAGCCTCCAGCTCCTCACAGAGGTGAAACAGGGACTTCTGGGAGTCCCAACAGCAGAAAGTGAAGGTGACAGTCCCCTGTTGGCTGGCCCTCAGCATCATATGCCTTTTTTGTCTGTGCCCCCCGCAAGAAGTCTGAGGGCAGCAACCCGAGAACTGGCCTTTTTGTGGTGGCTCCCTGCTTGTGGAATGCTCTCCCCAGGGAAGCTCGCTTGGCACCTTCATTATACATCTTTAGGCACCAGGAGAAAACATTCCTCTTCAACCAGGCCTTTGGCTAACTGAACAATCTATGGCCTTTTGAACTGTGTGTGTGTGGGGGGGTTATTGTTCATGTTTGTTACTATGCTTTGTAATTTTGTGTTTTCATATTGTAAACTGCCCTGTGATCCTTGGGTGAAGGGCAGTACAGAAATTTAATACATCACCATCATCATTTAATACTAAGAAGTACAGTGCCTCTGTAGGTGGAGGTTCTGCTTTAGCTGTTGCAGACAATATGTCTAATCCTATTGTGAAATCTTCTACCCAAAAAGCCATCCCCACTGTGGCAGAGTTGCTGGTGATCCACGAAGTATTTATTTTTGTCAGTGCTGACTCCTATGGTCAGTGAGTTTTGGGTGCTTGAGGGAAGTTGTGTTAATTGGATTGCAAGGTGCCAGGACTTGTGAAAAGAATTGGGCAAAGTGTGAGGGTTAGCATCAAACCTGGCTGAATTCTTCTTCAAATGTGTAAGTTGAGCAATTCCACCTGCGCCCAATGGGTTGCTGTTGATTACGGCCTTGCTGTGCTTTATCACCTTAGAGGTGGATTTGTATTCTTCCTATTGATTTCACTGTTGTAGCTTTTAACTGTGCACTGCTTGTGAGAGGCCCCTGGCCTGAATATAAACAGGATATAAATTGATTTCTTGTCTGGAAACAGCTGCAGGTGTCCCAGGCCCGGGTTGTCTATTTGGAGCAATCAATGGTGGAGAGGTCCATCGTCAGCCGCCAGGAGGCCCTGATTTGTGACCTGGAGAACAAGATGGAGTTCCAGAGTGTGCAGATCAAGCGCTTTGAGGTTTGGATGGCCTTGCCCTTGGCAGACTGGGGAGGATGTTGATCAAGACCCCCAGAGAACAAACCACAGGGCCATAGCCCAGGGGCAGAGCCACTGCCTTGCACGCAGGCTCGGTCCCAGGCTCAGTCCCCAAGGGAGGGCTCAGAGAGACCCCTGCCTGAAACCCGGGAGAGCCATTGCTGCCAGTCAGTGCAGACAACACTGAGCTAGATGCACCATTGGTTCATTGGCAACTCCTCATTTGCACAGGGGTTACGTTCTGAACCTGTGTGCATGTCAGGGAAATTGCATAAAATGAGGAGTCGTCTGTCTGTTCCATAAAAGCCCCGCTGATGGGTGAGGAAGAAGCTTCCCCATTAATCAGCTGAACCTGTCAACAAGACCCGCTGCCCCTCTGGCTCACATGAGGCACAGGGGGCTTTCTGGCTAACAGCTGGCATGCAGGAAAGTGCAGCTTTTCTGTGTGTCAGCTGCTGTTAGCTGGGAGTCTCAGCAGAGCCCCGCTGCACCTCCAGCTCACGAGGAGACCCACCCCGGAGCCCAAAGAAAATGTCCCTTTTGGGCTCTGGGGAGGGTCTCCTCACCAGCTGGAGGCAAAGCAGAGCTTTGCTGAGGCTCATCAGGTCTCCCCACACACTTCCAAGTTTCTGGAGCCTCACATCCATGTGGTCACGCATAAATTGAACACAGGTACATTGGGGGGGGATGCCTGTCAGGCAGCGTTGCGTGTTCCTAAACACTATGCTATGGGACGTAGGTGGCGCGGTGGTCTAAACCACTGAGCCTCTTGGGCTTGCCAATCAGAAGGTCGGCGGTTTGAATCCCCGCGACAGGGTGAGCTCCCGTTTCTTGGTCCCTGCTACTGCCAACGTTGCAGTTGGAAAGCACACAAGTGCAAGTAGATAAATAGGTATCACTCTGGCGGGAAGGTAAACGCCGTTTCTGTGCACTGCTCTGGTTTTGCCAGAAGTGGCTTAGTCATGCTGGCCACATGACCCAGAAAAACTGTCTGCGGACAAACACCGGCTACCTCGGCCCAGAGTCGTCTGCGACTGGACTTAACAGTCAGGAGTCCTTTACCTTTTTTTAAACACTATGCTACAGACTTTAACTTATTTAATTTTCATTCCAACCACCCAGAGAATCCTGGGAACTATTTTCTATAAGAAGAGCAATTGTGGCGTCTGAATAGGAATGGGAGACATGGGTTCAAATCCCTCTTGGACCATGAAGCTCATAAGGTGACCTTGGGCCAGTCACTGACTCTCAGCCTAACTGCCCTCCCCCCCGGCATATTGAGAGGCTAAAAGGAAGAAGGCTCTCCCGTCAGATGTCAAGGAAATAAACAAATTTTGACTTTTAGAAGACATCTGAAGGGAAGTTTTTAATGTTTGATGTTTTACTGTGGTTTTATTGGAGGCCACCCAGAGTGGCTGGGACAACCCAGTCAGATGGGCAGCATCTATCTATCTATCATCTATATCTATCTATCATCTATCCATCTATCCATCCATCCATCCATCCATCCATCCATCCATACTATGTGTGATTGCAAGCAACAAAGTCTGCTGTCTAACCAAATACACAAGCCATACTTGGTAAACTCTCTGCCTAACAATAGATGCCCTGTACTTACAGGCATATCTCTGGATCCATGAGGAATGAAACCTTCCTTTTAAGGTTCTTGGGGAGTGCATGTCCATGGCACAATTTTCACTTGTGCATCGCATCCTGCTGGTGTTGTATCTGTCATTGTAGAAGGCAGAAAAGAAAAGAAAGAAGGGTGGTTGGACTGGATGACTGTTGGGGTCACTTTCTACTCTCCAGTTCTGTGATTCTGTGATGGGTTTCTGTTCGACTCCCCCCCCCCCACTGCCCCCTAACTCTTCTCTCTCCCCAGATGCTGGTTCTCCGTCTTCGGGACAGTGTGATCAAGATGGGAGAGGAGCTGGAGAAAGTGAAGGAAGGGGAGGCGCGAGAAAGAGAGAAGACCTGCTACTACCAGATGAGGATGGAAGAGATGAAAGCAGACCTCAGTGAGCTGGCCCAGAGGGAGCTGGAGGCCAATCGCAGGCGGGTGGAACTGGTAAGAGGGCCAGGAATGGAGGTGGCGGGAGGGAGAATGGATTTATTTATTTTCGGTTGGCTCTTCATTTAATGTTTCCAATCCCAGAGCAGGGAACAAAGCAGTAAAAAAGAGGGGGGAAATATGCCAAAATTACTTATACAAACTCGCAACATATGAATGCATATAAAAGCAGACTTGCCACGGCCAAATTCAATGATATTTGGAATGCATTTTTAGAAATACTGCAATAGGTTAAGATCTGGTGAAGTACAATAACAACCTTGTAAAGCATACAGTTTTGGGTTCCCCCCTCCCCCCTTTATTTTCCCTTCTACATGGGTTCTGTTTCTCTTTCTCTTTATCTCTCTTTTGTTTACGTCTCACAATGTTTATTGCACATATATTTATGTACTTTTTGAACTTTCAATAAAGATGTTAAAAACAAAAGAAAAATAATATGCCAAAATTATGGAATCTTATAAACAGGACCAATAAACAACTAATCAAATGCATCATCCGGTAAACAAGAGAAATGAAAGCAGGATGTGTAGGATGTGTATAGAGTCTACGAGACAAACGTGAAATCACACACACACACACACACACACACACACACACACTGGATTAATCCAACCTCATGCCTAGAGACCCTGCTTTTCTGTGTATCCTGTGTATGCTAGTGGTGGTGATAAGACTATGGAGTCACCTCGAAGGTCATGCTAGGATACAGGGATCAGTCGTGGCCAACAGGACTGGTGGGACAGAAAGCCAGGCTACTAATGGTAGGCAGAGCCAAGAGGAGGGTGCTGGCCTGTGCACACGGCGAGACTTAGGCTTAGGTCAAAGGAGGTCTCTAAGCCTGTAGAGAAGATCCAGGACACACAAAAGAAAGTCCTTCTTCATACAGCACATTTTTAAAATGTGAAACTCCCTCCCAGACGAGGCAGCAATAGCCGGCTGTAAAAGAGGACTGGACACTTTCCTGGAGGAGTAGAAGGCTACAATGGCTTTCAGCCACTCCATGGACAGAGCTGCGATGCTTCTAAAGAGCAGTTCCTGGAAAGCGCAGGAGAGGGAAATCCACAGCCGACAGATGCTTGGCCACTGTGACAACTGGATGCTGGACTGGGTGGGCCATTAGTCAGCAGGGTCTTCTTACACTCTTAGAGAAGGCATTAAAACAAAAAATTAACTGGAGAGCAAATGAAAGCTGGATTTATTTTATTTTTTAAAAAAATTGAAATGCAAAATGCCCTCCTATCCCTTGTGTAATTTATTTTAGGCCTTTTAGTTCTGCGGCTCTGAATGCTGGTGCCACAGAGTCCCTTCTGGCAGCAGACAGCCTTCCTAATTGCAGAAGTTGTTATCACAAAGCCTTCCCCAGGCAGTCTTGCACGTCTCTGCCTTGGCGCTTGCAAAACTGTTCACGCTTTGCACGCCTTAATAGTTTCCCAGCTTTGGTTGTGAGTTTGATGGAAGAAGGAGCTTAGTAATAATTTCATGACTCCCGAAAAGGTCTGATCCCCTCTGACTACAAGCTGTGACAGCAAGGTGGAAATTGAGAGATTTGGGCATTCTTTTCCTGCAAAAAAGGTGGGAGGAAACCACCCCACAAGATTCAGCTGGGAAATTTTCACTGAGGATACCTTGATAAAACTCTGTGGTTCTTTGTGGGGGAAAGTTATCTTACCCTACTTAGTAAATTCTGAGTTTTGTGGGAAATAAAAAGTATGGTGGCTTTCTATCAGCCCAACAGCAGTTTACCAGCACTTAAGATCAGCTAATACCAATTACAGCAATTGCCTTTGCTTGATGGATTTGCAAGAGATTTCACCTGAGAGGTTTTGTGGAGGTTTTGTCACTTCAAAACTGGCAAGCAGCCCTGATGAATATTACTTAATATATTAACAGAGGGGTGCTAGTGTACAGTAAATTGCAGAAATAGAATCCAATACTTTGGCCACCTCATGAGAAGAGAAGACTCCCTGGAAAAGACCCTGATGTTGGGAAAGATGGAGGGCACAAGGAGAAGGGGACAACAGAGGATGAGATGGTTGGACAGTGTTCTTGAAGCTACCAGCATGAATTTGATCAAACTGCGGGAGGCAGTGGAGGACAGAAGTGCCTGGCGTGCTCTGGTCCATGGGGTCACGAAGAGTCGGACACGACTAAACGACTAAACAACAACAACAACAATCTCAAATAACTTTAATTAGTTTATAACAGGCATGTCCAAAGTCTGTTTCGGGGGCCTAATCTAGCCTTCGGGTTGATTTAAGACGGTCTCTGGGGTAAAATCCTAAAAAAAGCTCAGCAACTTAAATCCAAAAAAAAGCTCAAGAAGTTGTAAATCCTAAAAAAAAAGCTCAAGAACTTTGGTCGGCCCTCACTCGTGTTCACTTCATCAAATCTGACCCTCTTTGAAAAAAGTTTGGGCACCCCTGGTTTATAGTGTAGTAAAGGGGGCAGGTGGGGAAGCTTGACAGTGCAGATGGGAATGATAAATAAGCAAGCCATGAAAGAAGCCATTTTGGCTAGCTGTTCATGCGAATATTTTATTATTGAGCCAGCCTCAATTGTGGCAGGAGCTCACTTGGTTTGGACTTTTCTGCCTTCTGCCTGGCCCTTGTGGTCTCTGCCTTCCGCTAGAGCTGCGTCTGGGGCACAGCTCCTCAGAAGGACATGGGCTCATGGGACAGAATTGCTTTGGGAATCTATGCACAGATCAGAGAAGTAAATAGGGATGCAAAATCACAGTGAGAAATTGACTGGTTGTATCAAAGCTCCTCAGGTCAAGGGCTGCTGGGATAGAAGCAGTTCAGGTCACTTGATGCGATGCCTGCGTATGCAAGGGGATGGCTGGGGAGAGGCCAAGGCGGGTGGTCTCTTGGCAGAGCCTGATGGAATAGCCCTACTCTCTGCAGCTTAATGGAATAGCCACAGACATTTCCTACTGAGCATTTGGGAAGTAGGAGGAAGAGAAACCCCCAGGACTGGTTGGATGCACTTCCCAGAAAGGTGCCACTTCCCACACAGAAGGGTCCTTGCCTCCTCTCTCAGCTCCTCTCCCCCAGGACAGTGGAGGGGCCCCTGACTGGGCCAGCTGTATTTATCATTGAGTCTGAGCCCAAGAGAAACAAAGCCAGAGGGCAAAGTGATGCTTTCCTCGTTGGGCCAGGGAACAGCTGCTGACAGAGCCAGCAGACGCAGAAGGCGTAGCAGCAGAGGCCTGGAAATAACTGTCTTAAGCCACGGTCATTATCGGAAAGGCAGCTGCATTAGTACTCAGGAGTCTTTCTCAGAAAAGGGGTATTTTGCCTTGGCAACAATTACTTCATGGATCCTCATTCATCAGCCCAGGCCATTAGAGGGGTTTGCACTGAGGACGGAGGGAAAGACTCTGCCACCAATCAGAGGCGCCCACGGAGCTCTTCAGCACCATGCCAGCCCCAGCACAAAAGCGCCTATGATGTTGCTGTTAATGTGGAAGAAAGCAGGCAAAATTACTCACTGTTTGCCTCTTTAATCTCCTCTGGGCTTTGTGCTGCTGAGCCACCCTCCAAATCACAGCCCATTTTCTTCCTCTCTCCACTCCCCACCCCTCAAACCCAGGTTCCAGACTCTGTCTCTTGCACATTAGAGGCAACGGAGCCACTTCTATTTTCATTTTACAAGTGTGACTGGCTGAATATCACATGAATGAGTGATGGGGAAGAAACAGTGCTAAATTCAAGAACACAATAAGAGCCTGTGGAGTCCAGCATCCTGCTCTCATTGGGGCCAGCCGGATGCCCATTATGGAAAACCCTCAAGCAGAACTGGCTATTCAGAAGCACTGGAAGCTGCAGCTGTGGAAGCAGAGCAGAGCATCATGGCCAGTCGCCATTGGCTAGGACCCAGATTCTGTGGCCCAATGAGATCCCATTGGAGATTAATAATAATACTAATTTTATTATTTATATGCGGCCCATCTGATGGAGGTACCCCACCCACACAGATGGAGCTTGGAACCCTCTACATGCAGACCTAAGAAGAGGCTGCTGCCTCTGGCCATTAGCCCACCTTCTGATGAGCTCTTTGGATGAAGGGCAGTGAATCTATATCTATCTATCTATCTATCTATCTATCTATCTATCTAATCTATCTATCTATCATCTATCTATCTATCTATCTATCTATCATCTATCCATCATCTATCTAATAATACTCCAACATCCAGTTCTCACAATGGCCAACCAGATGCCTGTGGGAAACCTGTGAGCAGGACCCAAGTGCAAGAGCAGCCCTCCCCCCCCTTGCGGTTTGAAGCAACTGGTATTCAGAAGCATCACGGTCTCCAGCTGTGGAGGCAAAGCAGAGCCATCCTGGCTAGGAGCCATCCATAATATTCTCCTTCGTGGATTTGTCCAATCCAAGTTGGTGACCGTCAGCCCTCCTATGGGAGGGAGTTCCACAGTTTAACTAAGAAGGATTTTCTTTTATCTGTCCCAAATCTTGCAATGTTCAGCTTCATTGGATGCCCATGAGTTCTAGTTTTCTCTTGCCCACTTTCCCCATGCCATGCATAATTTTAATATTTCATGGTGCCATTTTCAAAAAGAGCTGGAGGTTCTGAATCCCCGATGTCTCCTGGCTTCTCTGTGCTGGGTGGGGGTGGCACTCTGTGCATGCTGAGCATCATGAGCTTTATTGCAACACTGTTGGTGTTGGAAGTTGGACTGGGGCTGAACCAGAGCTGTCCTTGGTCTCTGGAAGGGAGATGGTAAACTCTCTCTGGGGGAGGAAGACAGGCAGGACTAGGAGGACCTCACACCTAGGAAGAAGTGGCTTTGGTGGTCTTATGAGAATCCATCTGTTGCCCCTGTAGGGATGGAGAAGCTTGTTCAGCCTGGAGGCCAAATTTGTCGGGGGGCTGCACCCGCCCTGGGCACCTGCAGGATGGACATTTAATGAATACGAATAGTATGCTGCTGGTGGTTCGTGGATCCAAAGCCACAAGCAGGCAAAGCACTTGATGT